CGCTTCTCCGCCACGCCTCTCCGCTCTTTGCCACGCCCCCAAGCCTGGCGCCCCGGGGGCAGGACTCCTGGGAGGAGGGAGCCAACGCCCCCTCCAGGAAGGAGGGATCCCCGCCCCCTCTTAAAGGAATATGGCTACCCGACGCCCCTGGGCAGATCACTTAAACGACCCCCACCCATTTTTCCAAGTTCTCACCCTCCGGTCCTCCTCCTCTCTGGACCGTACTTCCTTGCTCCTTTTCTCCCCGCAACCATTCCTTAAAGCGCCAAGACGGTAAAATCCCAAGTCCTTCCCCACTCTCCGTGCAGGGAGAACCTGAGGTCACCTGGCTCTCGTGCGGGCCGACCAGGCTCCAGGCGTCTACGTTCCTCCCACTAATGGTCTGGTCTCTCCGGCCACAGAACGGATGGGAGACTTCGATCCAGCCCGGGACGTGCATCCTCCAAGGCCGGGTCCATTAGCGCCCCCACCGCATCCTGCCTTCCCTTCCCCAGAGTCTCCGCTGGAAAACTGAGGGCGAACTGTCCTTGGGGCACCGGTCCCAGGTCTTTCCCCGGCTTTCGTTCAGTTGAGGTTTGCCCCCCGAACATTTTCTGGTCTCAGGTATTCAGGACCAATCAGGTGTAAGGATCAGCACTGGCCCTGGGATTCCGGCGGCCCCTCCCCTGGACACCGGGGCCCTGGGGCTTGGAAGGCAGTTTTCTCACCTATAAAAATCTGTTCGCACCTCGTAAATCCCCTTGCCTTGAGGCTCTGGGATGAAAGAGAAGAGCCGTCTGTGGCTCCTATCCCCATCCTCCCCTGCCTTTGGCGGTTACAAAGGCCACAAGGCTCCCCGCTGGGGCTGGAGTATAAACCCCGAGACCAGGTCCCCTCTGCAGACGAAAGGCTGGGAGCCCAGTTAGGATTGCCCCACCTGCTGGCGGGACCTAGATTAGAAAGCCTCTGGTTGCAAAATGGGGTTCGGTAGCTGAGTCCTAGTTTGGAGCTCAACTCTGGTCAGAGACTCAAACTAGATTTGGGGTTCAGCCCAGGTCAGCACCATGGTTAAGGATAGGGTCGGAGGCTCAGCAGAAGGGTCAGCAATCCAATTAGGGATCAGCGGCTAGGCCTAATCCAGAGTTGAGGGTCTCAGCCGGGGATTAGGGTACAGTATGCATGAGTGGTGGTGGGGTGTCTGAGGTAAGTAGGAGGAGATCAGATTTTCCGGCTGATGTTGGGGCTCTGTTGCAGAAAGGGTTTAAGCTTGGGATCTGGAGGTGTCTCCAAATGCCTCACTTTGTGGCAGGGGCTTTAGCCTTATGCTGTGACTCAGCTTGAGGTCACAAGTCAACCTAGGGGCAAGATTTAACCTGGATCCAGGGTCAGGCTTCTCTGTGGACCAGGAAAATTAGGAGAAAAGGACAAGCCTTGACAGATGCGTGTGTTTATCAAAAAAGCCTGAGGTCTGGCTGAAAGCCACGTCCCCAGAGTAACAAGACGTCCTCCTTTGAGGATACTAGGAAATGTAGTTTATTTATGCCTTGCTGAGCGTGTCTGGGTAATGTAGTTCTGAACCGCTAAGAGTTGGGAGAAGAAATTCGGCTTTCAAGGACCGGATATCAGGTTTATTATCATTGGTTAGCTGAACTGTTTATCAAATTACATCCGTGATAATCTAGCTAGTGATTGGTGAGTGTGGAGGTGGGACTAAGCAGTCTCAGCACTTCCATTCGGGGCTACTTCTGTCCATCCAACGTGGTGTAAGGGCGTGTTTGCAAAGATCTATTGAATGATTGGTTAAACTGGGTGGAAACGCCGCACAGCGGTTCTCGCCGCGCGACGATTGGCTCACGGGTAGGCGGGTTTAGGGGCGTCAGAGGCGGGGTCAGGGGAGGCGGCAGCTCCAGAGATGGCAGAGAGCGAGAGGAGGGGGCTCGGCTGCTGGAACCCCGCGGAGTGGGGGCAGCGGCTCCTTCTGCTGCTGTTGGTGGGCAGCTGTTCGGGGCGTATCCACCGGCTGGCGCTGACGGTGAGGTCCGCCGCTCGGCGGTCTGGGGCAAAGGGCGCAACTCTGTCCGGGAGAAGCCCCTGGCGTGGAGTGGTCTGGTCCGTCCTCCCCCCGCTCGTTCTGCGGCGTAGAGCGGTCCGACGCCCCCCGCGTCCATCCGGAGTGGTCCGTCCCGGGATCCCTTCTGCGCCGGGGATGGAGGCGCCCGGCCGACCGCTCTGGGCAGGGCCGGTCCCCCGGGGGCGGGGCTTCACCCCTCGGGACCCCCGCAGCCTTCGGCCTTTTCAACTCTGGGGCCCCGTTTGGAAGGGGCTCTGGAGGGTTCTCAAGTGAGATCGTCAGGGCAGTCCCTGGGATGGATGTTGGCGGCTCGGCTGAAATCTGAGTACCCTGGGGGCCCAGCGGAATCTAAAAGTCTCCCAGGCGATGAGGGACAGCAGATCGAGAAGAGTAACAGCTCTCGAGGTGGTCACCCAGAGTGAGTGGCTTCCGAGTTCCTGGATTTCACTTCCTCAACTCAGAACCGGAGTTGGAAGTTCCAGGGCCACCCTGTCCCTGCCTGGGACTGATCGGGCGACAGAGCCTCCAGCGAGGCCTTCTCACCCTCCTTAATCGCCCTCCGCAATAAATAAAGGGCCACCGAGTGGCTCTTGCGCGGATCGCTTGCCAGACAGAGCCTCGGGGCCCGGCTCGTGGGTAACATCTGAGCTGCCGCCTTCTCCTTTGTCTCCGGTAGGGGGAGAAGCGAGCTGACATCCAACTCAATAGCTTCGGCTTCTACATCAATGGTTCCCTGGAAGTGGAGTTGAGTCTCTTGCGGCTGAGCCCCCAGGAGACAGAAGAAGAGAAGTCGCCATTGGTGAGGGTCTTGGAGGAAGGCTGGGAATGAGCGCCTAAGTTTCACAGCCCCCTCCTTCACCCCCATCCTAGATTCCTGGTCTAGCCCTGACCCTCACCCCTCGCCCATGTAATCCTGGGCAAGGCTCTTACCCTTTTTTTTGGTTTTTTTTTTTTTGAGACAGGGTCTCACTATGTAATTGAGACTGACCTGGAATTCACTATGTCGCCCAGGCTGGTCTCGAACTCACAGCGATCCTCCTGCCTCAGCCTCCCGAGTGCTGGGATTACAGGCGTGCGCCACCACGCCCCGCAGGCTCTTACCCTCTCTGAACCTCAGTGCCTCCTCTGTGACCTAGGGGAAAAAAGTATCTCAAGTGAAAGGTGCTAGGCACTGTTCTTAATCATTCTTAATATTTGAGGGGAAGCTGCCAATACATAGGACAGCCCCAGTTCCTGAAGACAAAGTAAACAACCAGCGTTTATTGACCTCAGTAGGACCAGGTACCATGCCTAGCAATCTCCATGGGTCTGTTCCCCCACAGAAGCCCCTCAGCAAGTCTGTGGAGATTCACTGGACCTGATGGCCACAGGCTGGGAATGGCTTTCCGAAAATTCCACAACCTAGAAATGGCAGGGCCTGGCCAGGTTCAGATCTGGTGTGTTGAATTCCAGAGCCTAGAGCAGGGAGACATCGACATTCTAAGTCAGGGGTGGGCTATCAAAGGTTTCCCTGTGGAAGTGTCCGTGCTGGGTCCCTTTGAGTGGTTGGAGATAAACAAAGATGAGGGCAGAGGGCAGGGGGACCGACTGCTGAAAAATGCAAGCGAGGTGTGGGATCTGCCACATAGGGGCCGCGCAGTAAGTGGAAAGCCGATTTCTGTTGCTCTGCGGCATTAGCTTCATGGTCCCTTCTGCGGACCCTTCTGCCCTTTCTTCTCTCTACCCACCAGGTGGGGTTCAGTCTGAGCCGGGTTCGGTCTGGCAGCGTCCGGTCCTACTCGGTGAGTGGGGAGTGAGGAAGCACTGTGGGGTACGCGGTGGGCGTGGGGCTGTCTCGCTCCTGCATCTGGAGCCTGGAGGCCCCTGTTCTTTCCCAGAAGTGGAGGCAGGAAAAGATCCTGAGGGAAGAAAGAGGGAGGCAGGGTGGGGCTGGGACTGCAGGAAGCCGGAACCCAAGTTCTTTCTGCCCACTCCCAGGCCCAGGATTCCCATGAATGCCCACTCCAGAGAAACAGTAGCAACCTCATGGTCCTGTTCCTCATCAACACCAAGGATCTGCAGTGAGTTGGGGTGGGGGTGGCTAAAGAGACACGTCTACCAGGGCACGGCGGCACACACCAGTCATCCCAGCACTCTGAGAGGCTGAGGCAGGAGGATCGAAAGTTCAAGTCAGCCTGGGCAACTTAGTGACATAGCCTTCTCTTAAAAAAATTAAGTAAAGGACTGAGATGTAGCTCAGTGCAAGGCTCCGGGCTTCAATCCCCTGCACTGTAAAAATAAGAAGAAATCCATGTTGGTCTTTTCCTGGACGTGACATGTACCTGTCCCTGAGCTATGAGGCAGAATAAGCCAGCTGCAAAGAACGCCGAGAGAGAAAGCCACACACACTTCAGTGTCACCGTCAGGCCTTCTGTAGGCTGGAAGGAGAGCGGGGAGGGTACCTGTAGAATGTGGGGTCCCTCAGAGCAGAGACCCAGGTACCGGAGGTCATTTGTGGACTAACGTGGTCATTTGTTCTCGTGAAATGCTGCTTGTGCTCCCTGTGGCACCCTGAAAACGTCAACACGTATGAACTCGTTTCTTTACACTCTTACTGTCCCCATTCTTCAGATGCCAAAACTGAATCCCCAGAACCGGGGTTCAGACTCACGTAGCCTGGTGCCAGGGTCTCACAGTCCTGTGGTACCTCGCTGCACGCACGGTGCCTCCTGCTTCAGTGAGGGACCGCAGTGGACGGGGAATGAGGGTCACGGGAAGTGACAAATAGGTGCATGGCATCGACCTTGCTGGGAGGCGGCCGGATCTGGAACCCGGTGAGCACTGACTCAGCCGGACACCGCCCCCCTCACTCCACCTCAGGGTCCAGGTGCGGAAATACGGGGCACAGGAGAAGCTGTTCGTCTCTGCCGGGCTCCTCCCCAAAGCGCCTCCCAAACCTGGGCTCCCGAAGGCGGAGCACACCGATGCTCCCGAGGTGGACAGCGGTGAGTCCAGCGGGCAGGGCTGGGGGTGGGCAGCGGGTCCCCTGTGTGTCTCTGCTTCTGTCCGTCTGCCTCGAGCCCTCAGAATCATTCACCTGTCTCCACAGGAAACTCCACAGCTGTCAAAGCCAAGGCTAAACCTGCGGGTTCTCAGGTTTGGGGAGCTGGCAGGGGCAGGAGGAAGGTGTACCCTGAGGGTGTCTGGGTTCCCGAGGCCAGGGCCAGCTGATGGAGGGACTCTGTCCGCTCAGGGGACCACTGAGAAGAACAAGGACCTGGTGTTGGACCTGGGCCACCTCAATGACTCCTACAACTTCAGTGTGAGTGCCTGTCGTCCCCCCCGCAGCCCCACCTCCCCTGTCAGAACTGGGGACCCCAGGCTGACTCCTCTCCCCCACCCAGTTCCACGTGGTGATTGGTTCCAGGGCCGAGGAAGGCCAGTACAGCCTCAGCTTCCACAACTGCTACAACCTGATGCCCGGCCGGGAACGTCCCTTCGACCTCACAGTGAGTGAACCAAGGGGCCCAGGCTCCAGGGGCCCAGGCCAGGCCTAGCCTCTCAGAACCCTCCCGCCGGCCATGATGGGAAGGGAAAGGCAGGACCATCAGCAGACCCTCTCTGCGGGATTCCAGATATTCTCACGCACCCGCACACACACAGAGTCATGTCTGCACCCACGTACGGGCTTGTTACAACAACTTTTCTTAGCCTTTGCAGTGTGTCAGATACTCTTGTTGTTGTTCTTGTATTGTGGATGGAACCCAGGGCCTTTGTTTGCACTGAGTGACAGCCCCAGAGGTTTTCTGTTTGTTTGTGTGTTTTAATTTTGAGACCGATCTTGCTAAGCTGCTCAGCTTAGCTCGAACCTACGATCCTCCTGCCTCAGGCCTCAGGTAATTCTCAGTAATCTAGAGGTGACCTAAAACCTGCAGGAAGATATGCAGAGCTTCTGAGCGCAGACTCTGCCACTTTACATGAAGGGGGTGAGAACGCCAGCTTCGCTGTCCGCCCTGGAGCCATGCCCTGCGGGTATTGAGGGCCAGCTAGTGGGGACCCATTGGAAGGGTGGGACAAAGCGAGGTTCAAGGAAGGCGAATCACCAGCCGGGAAAACGGGAGAGCCAGAGGCTGGAACTTACAGCTTCCCAAGGGCAGAGCCCGGGCTGCTTGACCGTGGCTGCCCTGTCCCCAGGTGTTGATCCAGGAGAAGAACCCCGAGGGCTACCTGTCCGCAGCGGAGATTCCCCTCTTCAAGCTCTACCTGACCATGTCCGCCTGCTTCCTGGCTGCCGGCATCTTCTGGGTGAACGTGCTCTGCAGGAACACGTAATGCGCTTGCCCACCCTCGCCCGCCCGGCACGGCCCCTCACGACAGCCTCCTCCCCGCTGACATCGTCACACCCGTGTCCCCCTCTCCACCAGGTACAACGTCTTCAAGATCCACTGGCTCATGGCGGCCCTGGCCTTCACCAAGAGCATCTCACTCCTCTTCCACAGCGTGAGCCCCTGGGCTGGGCAGCCGGAGGGTTGGGCTGGGAGCAGGACATCCAGGCCGCCTCCCTGCAGACTGGACTGGGAGTCCACTTGTCCCCTGCGCAGCTGTCCCATCTCACCTGTCTGCCAGTCCTTCTGTCCTGCTCCCCGCCGCCCTCCAGGCTGCCTGTCTGCGGGGCCAGCTGGGACTTCACTGTCCAACCCACCCACCCGTGACCATCCCTGCCTCGTGACTGTGACTGTTTCTGAGCCCCACCCTTCGTCCTGCTTTTAAGCATCAGTTCGTCCGGCTTTCCGGTCACCCACCCCACGTGATGGTCCACGCCCCTAGCCTCGCTGTCCACACACCCAGCCCTGCATCCACTTGTCTGACTGTCCATCCGCCTGTCCACCTCCAGATCAACTACTACTTCATCAACAGCCAGGGACACCCCATCGAAGGCCTCGCTGTCATGCACTACATCACGCACCTGTGAGTGCCCCTCGGTGCGGGGTGGGGGGTGGGGGTGCTGGGGTGCTGGGCTCCCGGCCTCCCCAGCAGACCCTCCTGGCCCCCAGGCTGAAGGGCGCGCTCCTGTTCATCACCATCGCCCTGATCGGCTCAGGCTGGGCCTTCGTCAAGTACGTCCTGTCCGACAAGGAGAAGAAGATTTTCGGAGGTGGGGGTGGGGGTGCTGGGCTCCCGGCCTCCCCAGCAGACCCTCCTGGCCCCCAGGCTGAAGGGCGCGCTCCTGTTCATCACCATCGCCCTGATCGGCTCAGGCTGGGCCTTCGTCAAGTACGTCCTGTCCGACAAGGAGAAGAAGATTTTCGGGATTGTGATTCCCCTGCAGGTGCGTGGCTGCGGAGGCCCTGGAAGAAGGCAGGGAGGGACGGGGGTACTCGGGGCTCAGGTGGCACCCACTGCACCCCACTGCCCAGGTCCTGGCCAACGTGGCCTACATCGTCATTGAGTCCCGGGAAGAGGGCGCCAGCGACTATGGGCTTTGGAAGGAGATCCTGTTCCTGGTGGACCTCATATGCTGCGGTGCCATCCTCTTCCCGGTTGTCTGGTGAGGGCCCCGCCCCGGCTGAGGCTCCGCCCACGGGCGCTGGGGCCGCGGATGCTGACCGCACCCGGTGTCCTCTCCCAGGTCCATCCGGCATCTCCAGGACGCCTCTGGCACAGATGGGAAGGGTGAGGCCGCACTCCTCCCACATTCCGCACCCAGCCCCGTCCTGCTCCCTCCCCTCCTACCCCCTGTGACCCTCCTGGCTCTGCCCACCCCCTGGCCTCTGGGTCCCGGGTGCCCCTTCGGCCTCTTCTCCTAGGACATCACGCCCAGCCCTCTGCCCCTCGGTTCCCCTTCCCTCCTCTCTGGTTGCCACCCCCTGGTCACCCTCCAGACTGTCTGCCCCGTGTGTCCTGTCCCCTCCCTCCTGGGTGACCCCTGCACCCCTGCGCCCTCCTCAGTGGCGGTGAACCTGGCCAAGCTGAAGTTGTTCCGTCATTACTACGTCATGGTAGGAGCCCCGCCCCCGCCCCCGCCCCTGCCCC